TTAGCCCTCACGGCCACAACTTCATCCTCTTCACATTGAACTTGTCACATACACATATTTTAATTAGATATTATAATGAAGGTTGCCATGTCATCCACGAAGGCGGTTAATTTCGTGTACTAAAAACTTTTCCAAATTAAAATTTAATTTTATTTTAGCTAGCAGAAATACAACTTCATCCTCTGCACATTGAACTTGTCACATACACATATTTTAATTAGATATTATAATGAATGTTGCCATGTCACCCACGAAGGCGGTGAATTTGGTGTACTAAAAACTTTTCCATATTAAAATTTAATTTTATTTTAGTTTGCAGAAACCTAAGGTTCTAAATTATTTAATTTTTATCAAAGTTATTAATGTAGAACATCCAACACTCTACCTACATCTAATCCTAACCAACCCCTGAGTTGGATTCCCCCTAAAATTAGATTCTTCTCAGGTGAGATAAAGTCCTCATTAGCAACCCTATTCATATGTAAACACAAAACCCTTACAAGATTCACAGGCCCGTACTTTTCTTACCGAGGATAAGTTCAATAATAACATACATTCCGCCAATATGCAAGTATGATTTCACCACAAGTATACAATTAGAAAAAAAAAAAGACTTCTTATTCTTAAAGGATTCATGCCTTTATGCTTGCATTATGTACAATTAAACTAGGCTTCGTTTAATTCTTAAAGGATTCATGCCTTTATGCTTGCATTATCTACAATTAAAGGCTTCGTTTGTTAGGGGCCGCTTTTTTCAAGCGTTGCGGCCCATAACCGCGATAGATTCATGTTTGGTTACCAACTTCGCCTGCCGAACGACGCCGAAGCGGGCGAGGCGGGCGAGAGCCGGGCCACGGTATCGACCCTGCGGCCCCAGCTTTCGCCTCCTGATATTCGAAATTGCCCTCGCTAATATTCGAAGAAGCGCCATAAGTGTTCCGTCCCGCCCTAGCGATCCTTTCATCGCCGTCCCGCCCGCGCCTTCTTCCCAGCTCTAGCGATCCATCGCCGTCCCGCCCGCGCCTTCTTCGCCGTCCCGCCCGCAATCCAGGTTTCGAACTTGCCCTAGCAATCCTTCCATCGCCGTCCCGCGCCATCTTCGTCGCAATCCAGATATCGAACCAGCCCTAGCAGTCGAGCCGTCTTGCCGTCTCTACAGGAAACACGCTTCGGCTTCGAACAGCTTTCGTCTCGAGCCTTCTACTTCTTCGACCGCTCTATCCCGTTCCGTCCCGAGCCTTCTTCTTCTTCGTCGACCCCGTTCCTTCTGCTTCTTCGTCCCCGTGCCTCACAACCTCCGTGAGTGGCTTCTCCGCTTAACAATTTTTTTTTTCACTTTAATTGGAGAAACCAGAATTATGAGCTCTTGTTATGCAATTTACACTTTTCATACGATTTTGCCTACATTTATCATTTTGCTTGGGGTGTTTGCTGAATTCAATTTCACTTTTGTTAGGGAAATTTTCAAATATTGGATAGGAAAATCATTGAAGAAATTTGATCAGGAGTTTTCTATTGACTTGAATCATATATGGCTTGAAATGAGTCTATGCTGAATTCAGTTGCTTGCTTAGGTTTTATCACGATGGTTTCAATATTTAAAAAAAAATTGAAATGACCATTAGCTTTATTTATAGAAATGCAAAGTTGTTTTCAAAATCTTCTTTTTGTCAAATATCTGAAAGTTATGCATTTTTGGTATGAGAAATTTGGAGATAATTGCAGCTTGTGAAAGTTTGGAAAGCCTCATTTTGAGAAATCTAAAATGTTATAGTTTTGGTTTGTGAAAACCTGAAATTTATTTATAATTGTTTGTGCAAAATTCGAAATATTTGGTGTATTCGTTTGCTAAAACTTGAAAGTTTTAACGTCTTAAAACACTGGACAATTATAGTGGCATGGTCACGCTGAAAACACTTTTTTTATAATTACATTTTTAGCACTTTAAATTGGTCATCTCTATATTCGGTTGCTCTTATATATGCAGATGAAGATGTGTATATATTCTAATGTTAAACCTTCATTAGAAGGTGGCGAACATTCAGACATTAGAAGACTAAGATTTAGCATCGGTCGACAGTCGGCGATGTTGATTGTTGTTGTCCTTGAAATTCAGACATTAGAAGGTGGTTGATGTTGTTGTGAG